CTAATCTTCCGGCTCGGCCGAGAAGTCGGGCTCCTCAGGCTTCGGCAGCTTCGGCAAATCCACAACATTTTTAACCTTCTGAGCCCCCCTCCGTGTATTGGCCGCGAACCTCGACGCCAAAATCGTGACCCCCAAATTCGACTTTATCACAGTTGACGACGAATCCTGTCCCGCCACCTCATCATCCTCCTGGGCCGCCACCACGGACGATTCCATCCGGGCAAGATCTTTGGCGAGCCTCCTCCTTTTATACCTTCGCCAGGCAGCCTGAATAAAGCAAGCAGCCCACGTACGCCAATGGTGTGAATAAAACCGAAAAGTGTGCTGCAGCCGTTTGCTGTGTAGGCGGTGAAACTGATTGGCCACGAACTTTAGGTCGTCTGCTCGTAGGGCAAAGGCCTCGACTTCAACAAGGGCCCGCACAGTTCGAGTGGATGAAGGGAGGCTAGTGGCTGCTGACTTGGGGAGGAGGGCCCACGCAAGGAGCTCTTCTCCGCAAAAGTCTCCTGGGCGAAGAGTGATGGAGTTGAAGAATCCCGTTCGGCCGCCGTTGGTGGTGGAGCTTTCGAGCCTGCCACGGATTACGAACAGCATCTCGGTTATGGGGTCGCCCTCACGCACGATGTAGGTGCCTTCCGTGCTAAGGGATGAGACGAGACGTTCGCATATGGCGTCGAGTAATTGGTCGTCCATCTGTGAGAAAAACGGGACCTGTCGAATTTTTGGAGGGAAAAGTAAAGATTTGATTTATTTTCGATTATTGTGTTCCAAACAGTAGATAACAATTAAAATGGTTCGAAATTATGCATCGCAGTTGCACTTTCGGTCCCTTAGTGTTTACGATTCGACGTTTTTGGTCTCATTAACTTACATTTGCTTCCCTGGAAATATGCTTTATTTGCACGTTTGATCCAAACAGAATTTCTTTTCAACATTTGCTCCCACCAGAATTTTGGTTCTTTATAAATGTTCACTCATTACTGCTCATTTTCTAACACTGGGTGACAAAAGAGCAATGGCCATTGAAAATAGTCCAAAATCCATGGGATCAAAAGTGCAATTAATTATCTCCATAAGTGTAATTATGAACAGAAAAAGATATTCTATAATCGTACTCGACACCAAATTACTATCACTAGATCAGTAAGATGAAAGCGCATATACTAAAATAAGGGAATAGAGCGTACACGTCTGACGAGGTCCAAGCACAGGTGGCGTTGGATATCACGACTGAGATCGGCAGGCAAACCGTGCAAAATGGCTTCTTCATCCACTCCTCGAGTCGCAAGCCATTTGTACTGAACAAAACGCCTCACCCGTTTTCTCAGATCTTCCGGAAGCTGCCGGTGGCGCATCCACTCCTCTGTGTCTCGTCGTTTTAGCCTCCACTCTTCAAGCCTTACTGTTAGAGACTGCAAGTATGTCTACAAGCAGAAATAGATAGGTGTAAATTGAAAGGTAAAAAAAAGACAATTTTGAATAATTAAATAAAGGTAAACTACAAAATGTCAAGTGAGTCTTATAATTCTGATAATTGCAAAGATATGAAAGTGAATCTTAATTATAGTGTTGTAAATGTGTCTTTAAAAAAATCAGGAATTTGAGGTCCAATACACATAGAACAGCCTCAAGAGCCCAACAAAAAAAAAATAAAAAAATAAAAAATAAAAATAAAAATAAAAATTGAAAGGCAACTTCTTGCTTGCTTACTTACCTGCATATTTCCAATAAGATGTGCGAACAAAACAAGACCCAAGATCGCAATAAGAATGGAAAAGGAAGTTTCCCCGATAAATGTGCTCGTTGATAAATTCTGCCCGTATGAACTGAATAAGTACAACAGACATGAATTGAGTGGTGTTTCATAATCCACGAGCTTAAAAAAAAACCATCTATGGAATATCTCAATATAGTTAATTATTCTCTCAGATACGTACCTCAAGTTCTGTAAACCCCACCACAGGCAATAGAAATACTTTCGAACAAAAGTTGAAGAGACAACTTGTTTCGTGACAGCATTCTCAAAAATCCCGAATTTGAATGTGATATCTCCTGTGGGGTCACAACTCTGGAAGACATTTGTGCCATTCATCCAAATGTCGACCTGTCTACTTTCAGCCATGTCACAATCTAAATATTCGAGCAAACATTTCATAGGTCTTTCTTCCTTTCTGCACATTGATTTCCAGCAAGATAGGTAACGGTCAACCGAAAGTACGTACCATGCTGCACCCAAGACCTAAAAAAAAAATGCAATATCAGTCAAATTGATATATTGAAACCAGTTTTTTTGTGTATTGAAAATTGGAAAAATATATATTACGCACATGGCTTGCTAACATGTAGAGTAACAAATTGTAGGCTGCCCCAGCCCAAGCAGTTTTGGTGACCACTCCAGTTGCTTTTATTATTTGGGAGCTCAATGGGAAAATAAGGTACAACCTGGGAATATATTGGAATAGTACAATTAGAGCAAGCGCATTGTTATCTTGATTCGTTCGGTGGTTTCTTGTTGCTGGTATGATGAACCAGATGACAATCTGCAACATTCAGAAATAACAATTATAGTGATAATCACATGACAAAAACTAAAAATGAAATTAAAAAAAATAGTGTGTTCATCTCCAAGTTGTTTGAGATTTTCAGTATACGCTTTAATAACTAGATATTTTCTCAATTTCAAGGATCAACAGTATAAAGAAAGAAAGCTTACTTTTGTGGTGATGTGCTCTAACATATCTGGCCAGTTAATATTTGACTATGAGCTCTAAAAGATTGTTCTTACACACTCTTCTTTCCTCAACTTTAGATCTCTCTCCTTCTCTCAATCAACATTAGTAATATAATCAGTCCCTAATATTTCACCAGAGCCATTAAACAGTCTATTAAAACTGTTGATTTGCTTCCTGAAGAATCTAGTATTACTTTTCTATATAATGCCTACTTCTTGACCGAACTCCGAAGCTTATTTCAAACAATTCATAACAAACCATATCCCAAAATCCATTGTGTTTGAGTTAGTAAACTCATATGCTTCACACAGCATTATGTCTGCTACAACTAAAATGGCACAAGCATAGATAAAACTGAACGATGACAGGAGATCACTTGTGGCAGCAAGTTAATAATAAGCCCGATATATAAATTACTCATTGACACGCATTTCAAATTATCAACGGAAATGAGAACACAACCGGATATAAAGCCTAAATTTCAA